CTGTAGCAGTGGTACATGTTTTCTTTACATTTTGTATTTCTGTGGAGACTAGCTTCTGTTCCCTGTTTGAGTCAAGCATCAGAAGGGAGTGAACAGCGGTCCAAAGGCTGTTCATCTGCCATCTCAGTTTTCTGCAACAAGCTTCCCGAAGCGCTCATCTCCCAGGGTACCGTTCCTCCTCCCTGCAGCTCCCCTGGACTCCGAAGAGAAAGTAGGGCTACTTCTACGTGGATTTAAGTTACAAGAACAAAAGGATTTGACACTGTTCCCTTGTTATACCAGCTATTTAACCATTGTTTCCCCCACCCACCCACTATAAACAGACATCAGAATTGGGTGAATAGTACCTAGCAACTGTCACCTACCCTTCCCTTCCAATTTCTTATTCTTTAAATACATTGCTAAGCTTTTTAGTTTCAATTTCACTGACAAGTTGTATTGCAACATAGCACCCTTTTAGAGTTGTGTTTATGAGCACACCTCCCAAATGCTGATAAGGTTTCCCCTTGAATATTTTGGGCAACGATGCAGAAGGCACTTAAAATCCTTTACTTGTAGGACATCAAGACTTTTTTGTGTGACTAGATTCAGCGAGGATTTCTGTACAGCTGGCTTCATTTTATAGATTTGGGAAGAAGAACCACTTAGAATCATAACATTAATTTTAGCTTTAGTTAAGGTCTGTTTAATGTGAAGTGCCCACTTTACACTGGCAGACAAATTACCAATGGGGCAACTAGAGAATGCATGAATGATAATGTACAGACAAGCTTTTTATTATTTATTCATAGAAAACAGCGGGTTTTGGTGTGGTGCTTTGAAAAATGTTCAAACTGGTAGAATATAATGAAAGCACAGTGAAAATTCTATTTCATTAACATTTAATCATAAATCACTCTTTAATATAAAACATAAAATAAAAGTCTGTCATAAGCACTTAGGTGTAGAGAATGGAGAAAGTCTGCAAAATAGGAAAGGAAATATTGTAGTGGTTTTCACTGTTCCTGTTATCTGTTAGTTCAGAAGGAAAAAAATAAGCGGAGAAACAACAGTCTTCAGCCAAATCTCATAACTAGTCATGAAGAAACTGCTTAGGCACTTGTCGAAATCTTGTATTTTGCTGGCTAAAAGTATTACCAGCATCTATAGACAAAGAAACAATTATTTTAGTAAAATCACAACAGCTCAGGAGCAGCAGTCTTCATCAGAACTCTGCTACCCAGGGAAAAAATAATCAGAACTTCAAGCTGCCAGAGCAGATTCAAAAATCTTTTCCATGAAATATCTATTACCCTGTTTATCATACAAGTATTCTCAAATTCCCCTTAGAGGTATACAAGGATGGTGCACAAATAACAAGCTCTTACACACTACAGATCTTCAAGGCTTATAAAACATTAGATCTTTATAAATATCATAGATTACGTCTCTTTTCAAGACCTCTCGTCAGGGAGGTCTGATTCGTTACTCTGTAAATACAAATGCGGTATTATACTATCAATACTGGTTTGAGTAGTATCATACTGTGATTTAGCAAGACACATCTGTAGAGGATGCAGGCCACAACAGTTTTTTACGTTTAGACAACCTGCACATCTCTGACAAAGAACAGAGTGATTCTCCTTACTGAAGGCCATCAATCAATAGCTGCTATCTTTAAAGACTTTTCTGATAACATACTATCTTCCTCCTCCTTTAACAGTCGTTTTACCTAAGAAGTGGCAGCCACCACCTGAGCAGAGCCTGTACCTGCAGCCCCCTACACATGTCATTGTCAGTGGCTAGAAAAGCATGTTTGACTCCTGTCAGCGGCAGTCGTGCCACGCTGAAAAATTGTTTGAGAAACAGCAGAAAATAAGCATCAATTACACTATTGTGACTTCTTTCTCCCAGCCATCATTAAAAATTCTGACAAGTCAGCCAAGCAACCAAAACTCTTGATACATTTTGCCATAAAGCAAACAAAAAAAAAATCCCAAACAAAACAAACTAAAAGCACCTTCTCATCTGCTTTGCTTATATCCCAGGGGCTCCTCAAACAGCCAGCTCTGCATCCTGCTTGGGAAATGAGCGTTTAGGCAACACAGGTTTTCCCAGAGGCAAGATTTTTTTAAAGGAAAATAAAGCCCTTGGAGAACGCTTCTTTTAAGCAGCCTTCTCTGTTTTGCACTGATGTGGATCAAGCGTAAAGCCTCTGTTGATCACAGCTGAGTTAGGAAGGCTGAAGAGAAGCAATCCTCCAAGCAGGCAGGTTCCTAGCTCTTTTTTTCCCCCAATCAAGCTCTTTGCTACCAGGTAACCTTACCAGGCATTCTTCCACTGGCTTTTCTGCTGAAGAGTACGACTGTGCGTGGTAAAGAATTGACACTGTGGGCATGAAATGCTACATTAGAAGTAATTGCTGTAACAGCCATTCATGATTTGCTGGCCATTATCTCTTAATGCATCTGGAATCCCAGACTGAGCAACTTGTGATTCACAAAGCAGTATTCTGTTGCTGTGCTGCATGTTGTGCAACAGTTCAGCAGTGAGTGGTAGTCTACAAATTAAATGCAGAACTTCCTATTTAGCTGGGAGAAGATGCATGCCACCTCTGGATGAAGGGCAAGCAGACCTATCACTCTATCTCTTGGTGTCAGTCCTTTTCTTGCTTATTATTTTTCCCTGATCACTGCACATTATTTTTGGATATTCACCTTCAAAAATGGCTTTTACTTCTATCTGGGAAGGTTGGTTTACCTTTGTACAGTTCTACTTGATCAAGGCAATCAACAAACTACCCTGGCCATTTTTGATCTGTAGCTATCCTTAGCATTTCCTCTGTTCCACATCCTCTGAACAGATATAATCAAGTGCAATAAAACAGATATAATCAAGTGCAATAACTTTAGAAACAAAGTCTTTATGCTTAGAGGAATGTGAGCTCTTTCTGTTGATCATTCATTTCCAGAAACTGCTTCAAACACTTTTAAAGGAGAATCATCCTATTTCTTAAATAAATTTGTGATTGAGTTACACAAGTTTTAAGATGCTCTACTTTTTTTTCTTTCAGTCTTTATCAGAACACTAAAATCACATCTATCCTCAGTTAAGTCTCATCACAATTCTCATTCTGAACTTCTGATCATTCATAGCACTTACTTCATCTGCTTACTGCTCAATTCACTTTACTTAGTCTTACTATTTGGTGCCGCCAAAAAAACCCACCCCAATTCCACCAGTTCGCTCGCACAGCAAGTCCTTGTAACATCATTCCACAGTAACATGCCATTATACATATAGGTGAAAGTCCTCTTGACATTTTGCAATCGCTTTGTCTAGCGATCTACCCTCATCTTCAGACTTACTACACTGCAGTATGTGTCGCTGATAATCCACTGCTATAGGTTACTTCACTGCTAGATCTGCTACCATGCTATTTGTTTCCTAGAAACTTCCAAATAAAGCTTCCAAATAACAGCTTCCAGTTTTTGGACCTTTCAAGACCAGAGGATTGAAGTACTTTTGCTTGTCAACTTTGGACTATTTACTTTTGATGAGATAAGAATGTGATGCACAGGTAGGTTCATCAGCCACCCTTTGTAGTCCTAGTTAATAAGGAAGTTTTTAGACATTTAACTCAAAACGTGAGCAACTCAACAGCCTTCAGGGACACAGAGGTGGTGTCCATTTTCCACATGGTATGGTTACATCCAGGTTACACAAGTACTGATGTTGGTGGCTACTGTCGTGATTATCATGCTCATCTTCTTATTAGAGTTTAATGAGTTTTTTGACCATATATGAAACAAACTTCACTACGACTTCAGTAAGTTACAGAACATGCCGATTTTGAAATGGGCAAGTATAGTTTGATACAAGCCTGAATGACTGTTGTACATAGCACAGGCAATGACAGATATATTTAACTTTGTCCAGGGTGCTCCTTTATAGACTCCACTTCCATTTGCCTACATTTTAACCACCTCTCCATTTCCAAATCTGCTTTAAGGTGACAGAATTCAGAAAGTTCCAGCTGAACCCAAAGTTAAACTGCATGCTAGATTCAGCAATAGTACCCCTTGGGAATGAACTGCAAATCCTATTAATATTCCCTTCATGTATTCTTAATGCCTGAGAACAACAAATAATTACAAGTATGTAAGAATTAGGCTTCAGGTGTTTCAGTTTTGGTGTGTAACAATAGTGTACACTTCTGACAACTTCTGGTCTTAATATAACAATTCCCCACCGTGACACAGGAGAAAAAATCAATTAGTATTTGTGAAAAAAACAGATAATACAGAGATGTCTCAGAAAATCTTACATTGTGATTAGTATCTTAACATTCAGTGAAACATTCAATCACATGCCGTGACAAAAAAGACCTTGTGTTTCAATATGAACGATGAGCATAAAATGAAATACTTAACAGCTGCTCATTCCTTGAATACCCTCCATCCAGTGAAACGATGATAGAGAAGTCTTACAGAAAGAAGTTTGTAATTGTGCAATTAAACCCCTTCTTGTAAAGCATATGCAAAATAGCTCAAGCAGTCTTAATTTTGTTATTTATTAACTTCTGACTGTTTAGCCTTTGTATGTTTTTTTAATGCAGAGAATTATTTATTCCTGTAATTAGTAGTAGGTACTACACAGGGATAACTTCCTTCATCACCCAAGCAAAGGGCATGTGACAAAAGAACTGTACAGCATTCTCAAAGCTCATTTGTATGGGGCTGGAATTTCTCACAGTCTGGACTGCCATTTTCCCACTTTATGTTCACAAACTCCCTTCTCGACATGCAGTGGCGCATGTTTGTGGTAGTGAGGGACAGATGCTCAATCTCAACAAAGATCAATGTGGCTCCAGGGAGCACTGTAGCATCTTTTCTCTGATATTAGACTTCAGTATCCTGAGGCTGTTCCTATGTGGCAGCTTACCAGGTTGCCAGTCTGTCTTTAAGATAGCTCTCTTTATCTTATTTTTTTAAATAAGAACGTATATTTAAAAGACATACCTGTCCAATAATAAGGGGGACAACAACAGTCATAAACAGCTGCGAGAATATAGATGTAAAAGGCACAGAGGAGGATGATCCAAGCTACAAAATAAAAATATACCATTAATATTGCATTTTTTTTAGTATCTACAAATTTCATACACAGATATCACACATTAATATACATTTTATTTTATGCATAAAAACTTGGAAGTGCATGCACAAACTTGGAAGTATGTGAACACATGTTTAATTGTCAAGTCTGAATAAAGCATTTGGTATTCCACAATAAGAAAAATAAAACAACCTCTGGTTGATTATCTTGTAACCTAAGGTAATAGTTCCATCAATATTCATTTAATTGAAACCTTGCTACACATATATGCAAAGTAACTCATAAGCATTTGTAGGATGATAATCTAAAACGACAGGGAATGAATCTTCCTAACTAAGCAGCTAGCTCAACTAACCTTACCACTTACATAAATATCAAGCAACAAAAATTGGTGTAGCTATTCCAATAAATAAATAATTTTTTTAAAGTTAAGACATTCACGTTTTATTTCAATGATGTTAAAGAAGAGCTCTATTTAAAGTATATAACTATTCTTTCATTAAGACAACTAAACAGTGACAGGCTTAGTCTTCGTGTATGTGATCTCTTAATTACAACTGTAAATGCTAAAAATATTTTTTAAAAGATGCAAGGAGAAAAGGTGAACCAACACAGTCAGTGGGATTTTTGCAACCTAATTCCAAATGCTCAGGAAAATATTCGCTTTTTTTTACATTCTGATTGGACCTGTTTTAAGCCAGGTCATTGAAAAGTTTCATTTGACGTAATTTAACATATCTTTAACAGCAATAACATATGCATTAAGAAATATATAGTAAGATGACTGAAGTAGCATTGTCAGAGCTTCCACAGACAAGTGTTTGTGTCATGATGAGGGTAAATGACATAATGCTGAGGATTTCACAGATTCACATTATTTTACATTTTGCACTTCACTTCAAGTTCCTCAAAATAATGACAGAATTCAGAATTCTTTCCAGCTCTGTGTAAATGACGCTGATTTCCTAAAACATTCTCACATACATCATTTTCACAAATTACACTCAGACTGCATTATACTTTTGACACTTATGTTCCTTTCAAACCTACCTGCAGGCATGACAGACAAGGTGATCACACAATCTAGTCACTTCCTATAACTGCCTAGAAAAATCAACATATAGCCATAGAGGTAGGTATGGCATAAACCCAGGTTCTTCAGAAATTCAAAGCACAGAAAAATCAAAAATTTCATATATTGAAGTATTTTATTCAGAAATGTACAACCTTTACCTACAGAAAATCACCTGATGAGAAAATGCCAATTATACCACTTCTGCAGTGGTTTACATGTACATGCACTGCTTTTTCTAAATGCCATTTGTATGTGCACACCAGCAGGGCTGTCCGCATACAAGCTGAGATTTTGGTGTACACAGACGGCACCAGAACTGGGAAACAGCATGAAATGGAAATAACTTCTGACACCAGGAAATCATGGGACTTTGAATGTTGTTTGATCAGCTTAGAGTTTGAGTGGGATCAGTCTTTTTTTTTTAAACATACTCCACCACTTGCTTTCAGATGTCCCTATCAGAATACACCAAGCTGTGTGGTGTGGTCAA